GAAGGGGGGGGGGGGGGGTACTCACAGTCGTGCAGGCGGTAGTCGTGAGACCATTGACCTCGCATCCCTACTAAGCCGGGATGGAGCAGCTGGGGGGGGGGATTAATCTTCGAAAGACCCAGTATTACGGCACGACTGCAATTGATGGGAGCAAGACAGAGATGGGCACTTGAAGATGGCAGAACGGGTAGGGAGACACGTGCCAGACTGATGATGGGGGAGGCGGCAGGAAATAAATCTTGTTTTGCTAACCCCGTCCCCGCCGGTGTTTGCCATCGGGGTTGGGTTTTCGTCGCTTGGCAGCGATGTTGTAAAACAAGCCGATCACTTCGCACCACGTTGTGTTAAAATGGTCAAGCACCCTCGAGGCAGTTACACAGTGCTTATAACTGTCTCTGGACGTGAAAGCACCAGAAAATAAACTAAGTCATACGCAGCTGTCATCCGTACGCAAGTAAGTAAGCACAAGATGCCGAACACGCTTAGCAGCATGCAGCGCACCCTTCATGCGACCCGCCGAATACCTCACGGCGCTTCGCGCTTGGTGATGTGAGAGCCTGGTCCGGTGAGAACCCGGCGTGCTCCGTCCCGGCTTTGTAGGGATGCGAGGTCAATGGTCTAACGACTACGGCATGCACGACTATGAGTACACCCCCCCTCCCCCCCCTCCCCTGTCATTGCCCCCGATGTGATCTTATCCATTTGTTTGTGGCTCTATGGGGTAGACTATAACGTTAAGAAGGTCTCTGTTTATTTATAGCTTGTAGTCATACCCCACTGGTTTGTTGTTGTACATTTCTGTTGAGTCGGTTCCCGGTGGAGCGATCCTTGAACCGCCCACACGAAATGTTTTTGGATGGGCGTCTGAAGATTGGCTCGGCCGGTGCAACCCCCTGCTGCGAATATACTCTGCCCCCCCTATCCTTTGGGCGGGTTCGCTCGTCTCCCGGCTGGTTTCCTTTCTCTGTAGTCGGATTATTTTCTCGTTTGGAGGATGTTGTTGTGTTTTTCTGGGTCCACCTTGTTTTTCGTTTCTGTGAGCTCTAGAAAGCCTACAGGTGTATCCCTTCTCGGGGAGTTACAATAATAGTCTGTGACCACGGAGGAAGGCGTCCCCGTCAGTTGGATCAGTGCGATAAGAAGGTACGGAGCGGAGACTGGAACGGGTTACGAATGATAATTAAAATGAATGGAAGACAACAACAACCAACACCTATGTCTTCAATGGTTTCTTTCGTCCGGGCGCTCTCGGTATGATGAGTCAATCAATCACGTGTATCTGCGTGATCTACAGTCAATGGAGCTGCAACAACCCTAGTTTCAATTTATTTCGCGAACATGCAGCCCAAATGCGGACAGACCTTGCCTCTGTATGTTGCTCAATGGGATAATAAGAATGAATAACCCTTTGGGCCCGTTTTAGACGTATTTACTACGTGTGAACACGGAATACCACTGGTCTGATGAATAAGAAGTAACCTGTATCATCTGCAGTCGATCATTCATTCTGCCAGAAAAGAAGACTTAGAGACTGTCTCTGTTTCTCAACGGGATAATAGTAATAGCCCTTTTTCGGGCCCGTCTGTGTACTGAATACCACTGACATATCTACGTGTTCTACCAGAAAATCTTTGGCAGGGCAGAAGGCTGGAATCTCGGAATAAAAAGTCACAGATTTCAGCAGTAGTGTAGCACTTGTACATCGAAGATACCGCCTCTTGCACAATCATTCTCGGCCGTGCCGCCCCAGCCCCACATCTCACAACACGTCCGCACTCAAGCACCAAATCTAGAGTTTTGAGGCACGGCCAAAACGGCTGGGTCTGGCTTTCAGAATGCTACGTTCGATCCTGTGGCTTGCGACGGTCTCACGCTTACCGGTCGCCACATTCGCGCAAGATCACAATCAAGATTCACAGCAGCGGCTAGGTGTCATCGTACCGGCGTACGACGGCGACCTCGCAAGGGCTGTATCTTCCCTGGAGCGATGGCCCGTCAAGTGCTCGCCCCTGACCCTCAAGAATGCTGACCTCGTGCTGTACTACGCGGAAGAAGCAAGCAGCGCTACTGCCTCCGCGCTCGACAGCATCTCCAGCACCGCCGGCCGTTGCTTCTCGAGAACCCGGGTCGTGTACGCCAATCTTGCGGAAGAGGTGAGCAGAATGTTTTTTTAAAATATTTTTTTCCGGTGCCGATGCCGCTGTCACATGCGCGCGTGCGCGTGCGTGCGTGGGGTTGCGACAGGCCGCATGACGCGCCGCGGCGTCCTTCTACCCTCTCCCTCTCGTAATCTTGACCGCAGGTCACATGCTTATCTCTACACAGAGAGATTCATCACGTAACATTTTCACCTTGTTTGGATTTTTCGAATCGGTACCAGAGCCGCAGGCGGTCGATCAAAAATCCAAACTTGGCGAATTGATTGCTGTCTCTCACAATCACAGATGCGACAGTACTCTCACACTCTCTCACGTATGTATGCATGTACACACGGTTGAGAGAAGTATCGCCGCCACCACTGAATCGCACACAAAAAGGCTCCCCGGCCTAGCAAACCGCCGGGACCGAGTTCGAGAGGACGGTGAACGTCGCCCTATACCAAGGCAGCGGTATTGTGCGTTACATTATTTTCTTTGCCCGAAGGTTCCACGTTCTCAAAAGCACACATTTCACGATACGATCGTGTAGCGGATAAACAAACAGCGGACAAACAAATTTGTCTAAAGAGGGCTGCTGCTGCTGCTGCCGTGCCCGATGTCTGTCCGCCCCCGTCTATGGACACAGCAGCTGCTGTGTGGAAAGGGTGCACGTAGAAAGTCTCGTTCGCATGATGTTCGCCTACCTCGGCCTCTCCTCAGTCGCCGAATACAATAGCCAAACTGCAGCTGTCACATCACGGTGCAGTGATCCCGTGTGGTGACATCGATTGATGACTGACTGCATACATGACCACAGCAGTACACGACAGCACCCGCCCAACCACAAGGATTGATTTTTCATTCTTGATTGCTTCTCACAACTGAGGTAGAACATGATAAAATATGTGATACGCTTTGTGTTGCCTTGTGGCATCGTGTCCGCAACAAGGTGGGTGATGCGAGAAGGGCGCATGGGAGCACAGCAGTGGTGTTATCCGTCTTCGTGAACTGTTTTTTTCTTCTGTTTTTGGAAATGCATGTGTGCACCAGCTGCGTAGTAAAGACTGTCCGCGCTGTTGGCCACGTTGCCTCCCGTTCTCCCAATATCTACGCAATGGCCACACGTATGCGATGCACAATAATATCAGATCTATGATACTGTGTACTGCTACATAGCTGCTTGATCGCGTCCTCCACAGATGGACAAGGTACAGGATGAAATATACTTGCTTGCTTGACTCGGGTTTTTCAACACTTTCGGCCGGCCGGCCGGACTAGATCATGTAGCAAGCTGCTGTGTTGCTGTGGTCGAAACCACGAAATTTCGTCCGTCTGGCTTTCGCCCTTTTTGAAATAAAAATCTTTACCGGTACAGGGCTGCCCTTGGGAGTTGACTCATGTGAGCACAGCAGTAGTGCCATCAAGGGGTGATATCCAATGACGAAACAAAAGCTCGCCCCCCCCACCTTGTCTACGGGAGACAGCTAGCTGCTGCTTTTTGGGGACAGCTGACGAAAATCAAAGTATCATTGAAACCAACACCCGCTAACAACAGGCGGCTGCAACCGTTGGCTGGCTGCATGCTAACGGATGTGCAGTTTAATAATTATTTGCCTCTACAGTGATGATGTTAGTGCGCCTATTCGAGAATTCATAGAATGGCATGCACCCGAAAAAAAAAAGTACCAAGTTAGTTAGTTGCGATCCAAACGCTCAGCAGACACTTTCTTTCTCGATCTCAAGGAAGAGGCTTAGCCCCCCACGAGTGCCATTAGAACAAGATAATTTTCTACCTCTCGCATCATGTCTCAACAATGGTTGTTTAAATCCCATTTCGTACTCGCAGGATGACATCTACCCAAAAGGCCCTTCCGTCATGTTTTACAAGATGTTCCTCGACGAGAACGTGCGCTCCAGCCTCTCCGAGTACGACGCGCTCTCCATCGTCGAGTGGGACGTGCTCGTCGCCAGCGACAACTCCTTCGAGGAGCTCTACCACGCCGCGTTCCGCGTGAACGAAGAGTTCTGGGTGAAGGGCAGCAACCTCGAGGGCACCTCGTTCCACTCGAGCGCTGAGGCGTCGGAGATGTGGCAGGTGCTAGGCCACATAAACGGCAACGCCATCTACAACAACGACGACCCCGCGTTCGTCGAGTACGTGGAGTACACCCGGGCCCGCTGGGGATACGAGCACCCGTACGACGTGGCGCTGTGGATGACTATTTCGGACTTCCCCTACAGTTGGCCTCTCTACCAGCGGTACTCGAGCAAGTTCGTCGTGACCAACCTGGTGAGTAAAGGGGCAAGGTTGTGGTGGGCGGTTGTTAGGACGACAAACGGGTCGTCTTTTTCCCCACCCACATTTTATTTTCGTTAAAACTTTTGGTGAAATTAGCCTGTGACCACGGGAACCGACCGCGCGTCACGTGGTAGACTACTGTAGAGAGAACAAACGGTTTTTAACGTGAAGACTGAAGACAACAACAAACACAACAACAACTACAACTGTAGAGACTTCAACGCATCCCAATCGACTTGTGGTGTTCTCTCGAACCGGTAGTCTTGATGTGTTTGCATATAAATTTTCTGGTGACGAGAGCGCACTACAAGCCAATCCACAGCAAGCAGTAGATACGGCAGGATGCACCGTCTCACGCAAAAGTACTGGTGTACACACACCGCGAACCTCTCGCCCCTTGCTGGAGCATCGGTAAACACGGCCGTCCGAACATCGACCGTTCGCGTTGGGTTGTACCCCACCCCGTCACCACCGCGCAAATCGATTTCAAGATTTCGTACGTCGGCTACGAGCACGTGAGTCACGATACGGTCTCCGACGCCGTCGCGGGCAAGACTCTGTTCATCCACGGAAGCAGCGTGGAGGACGGCAACGTCGCCTCCTACGAGGCCGTCGCGAGCACCGCCACCGCCACCGTCGACGTCGCGAAACAAACTCGTGGCCGGAAGCTTACGGGTAGTACGCCGAAGTGGAAGACACAGGAGAAGTGGAGGAGCAGCAAGGACGACAGCATCCCCAAGTGCGTATTTCGTAGCAGTTGAAGGGTTGGGGTTTCTGTTGGCGTTGGTGATTATATACGAGATCGATGCACCACCGTCGTCATGGTAACCTACCCTCTCGAAACCGCGGGCCCCCTTCGGAACTCCAGTACTCGTGGAGGTGTAATTGTTTGCATAGTCATATATGGCCACGTAGGTACGACGGTTTACGGGAATACTCAAAGAGTATCTGAGCAACGCGTTGAATCGAACGGCGTAGACATAATGGTGTCCAAACCCTCTGACAGAAGCGGAGCCTGTGGATTCGTGACCCGGATTTCAGCTCTTCACGACGCCCTAAGTCGCCACGTGCCGATGAATCCTCCCTCAATTGCAGTGGGTTGTTTGCCAGTACGGCACGGCACCCGTTGTCATTAGGTTTGTACAAGGGGTGCCCCATCAGGAGACTCAAGGGGTGCCCATCAGGATACTCTGTCATTTCGAAGGGGACGTGATCAGTACCTACTTGTGTGGTGCACCAAGTATTGGAAATATAGGTGGTGTCTGATGAATCAAGGTCGTCAACGGTGGTAGTAGGTCTTTGGTTGTACATGGAATTTTCTCGGTCGACGCCCGCAGATAGTATACGTCGGACGGGCTCGTTGGTGACGTGCAGCCCCATAGCTCGTCTTTTTCTCGTCTCGCGCTAACCCATCCTGCTCCATGGACTTCAACGTGCTTTCGCAACGGGACAGGTGGAAACGCAACCAGAAGTGGCAAACGAGCAAGGACGACAAGGTCCCCAAGTGGAAGACCAACCAGAAGTGGAAGAACAAGTTGTCGGACGGAGCGTGAGTGGTGCTAACGTCTCGCTCTAGTGTTCGTCGAGTATGTTGAATCATGTTTCGAAACTTTTGGAGGACGCTGCGTTGGCAACAACAGTCTTAAACGCTTAGCGGTTGTGAGACAGGACGAGACTTGTTTGAGCTGTGTAACAGTCTCATGGCAGTTGTTGACGATCGTTGGCGGAAATGCTGCCTAACGCTTGGGTGTTCCGGCGTCAGTCTTCACAATGGTGCGGGTGAGGTCGACGACTCTGTCCATGTCCAGCATGACGGCCACGTCAGCATCCGTTGTCGTAGGTAAACCATCAGCGCAAGACACTCGAGGCGATCCGGTCACTTTCCACTATTTAGTACTTCTAGCGTGGTTCGCCTGTTCGGCATGCTCTGTAGATTCATACGATGCTGCAGGTGTTCGCGCACCCGCCTACTCATTGCTCGCAGTCGGTCATGTTCCACGAAGCTCGCATTCCAATATCCTTTACAACTGCCCGACTCCCTCCCGCTGCTACCCTTTACTCGTCGCCACCACAAGCAGGTGCTCGTCCACCTGCGAGTACACCAGCAGGGACGGGACCAGGGGACGCGTGTGTGACGCGAACTGCTCGACCCCCGACGTGTACGGTACCCGCGGATGCAACGCCAAGCAGGGGACCTACGGAGAGGAATGCCGCGCTTGCTTCAACGACGTCGACAAGGCCCGCAAGCAAGACACGCCTGAGAACCGCTCGATCATGTGAGACGCCACCTGAACATGTAGGAGTGAACGGTCGCAGTTGAGTCGGGAGACAGCAGTAGTAGGACGCCCAGCCGAGTCTTGGCGACAGGTTTGGCCGATGACGCACGCCGAGTTGTGTCGCCGAGGGAAAGCCGTCGCGGTCGCTTGTAGGACGACGACGCCAGGAACACACAGACCATGGTATTCTCCACCCTCCCCACCCTGCCATACTCCTCCCTAACACGCCCTTCCCTTACGCGTCCTCTTTCGCCCGATTGATCTTGACCTCGACAGGTGTTCGACCAAGAGACCCGTAGAAGGCTACGGCCGTCGCCTGACTGCCGACGACGAGAGCGACCCTCTCCGCGTCGCGCGTGATCTCGAGACCTTGCAGGAGGACGCATCATCACCGTCCGGAGAAGAGGAGCACCGCCAGTTGTCAGGTAGTACGCCCAAGTGGAAGTCACAGGAGAAGTGGAGGACCAGCAAGGACGACAGCATCCCCAAGTGCGTACCATTCCGAAGCGGTTGGAGTGTTGGCGTTGTTGTTGTTGGCTTTGGTGTTGATTGTTTGTCATACACAGATCGATGCATCACCGTCGTGATGATCCCACAACGTACCCCCTCCACACCATGGGCCTCCTTTGGAAGTCCAGTACTCGTAGAGCTGACATTGCCCACGTAGGCACGGCTCTCGTTGGCTCTAGGTTTTTGTGCAACGGGCGCCAGCCAGTGAATTCTCTGATTTAGGAGGGGAGGTGGTCAGGCCCACCATACAAGAGTAGTCTCGTGGTACTGTAGTGCACGGACCCGTGTTTGTGGCCGATGATGATTTACAGTCGTCGAGGTCTGCAGCAGTGCATGGAATTCGCCCACCCGACATCCACAGACGGCATACGTCGGACGGGCTCGTGGCGCGGTGCTGCTTCATGACTCGTCCTTTTTATGCACTCACACCCGTCGTTCTCCATGTGCTGCAATGTGCTCTCGCATCGTGATAGGTGGAAACGCAACCAGAAGTGGCAGACGAACAAGGACGACAAGGTCCCCAAGTGGAAGAACAACCAGAAGTGGAAGAACAAGTTGTCGGACGGAGCGTGAGTGGCGGTAAATGTCTCGCGCTAGAGGTCGCCGAGAATGATCAAATTGTTTTTCGGAACGTTTGGGGGTGGCAGCAGCGGCCGTTAAACCGACAGGACGAGACTCGTCTGAGCTGTGTAACAGTCTCATGGCAGTTGTTGACGATCGTCGGAGGAGATGCTGCCAAACACTTGGGTGTTGTGGCATCAGTATTCACAGTGGTCCGGTTGAGGTCGACGATGCTGTCCATGTCCAAAATGACGACCACGTCAGCATCCGTTGTCGTCGGTAGAACCGTAAGCGCACGGAGCTCGAGGCGATCCGGTCACTGCAATCTCCATTCTTATTAAAGTCTAGAGTGTGCTGCAGATTTCGGCGGGCTCTGTAGGCTCATACGATCGCGTAGCAGTTCGCGTCAGGCGCGTTCCACGAAGCTCGCCATGCGTCATGCAGCAGCGTATCACAAACCTCTCCCAACTTCCTCCCACCAATACCCCGTGCTCGTCGCCACCACAAGCAGGTGCTCGTCCAGCTGCGAGTACACCAGCAGGGACGGGACCAGGGGACGCGTGTGCGACGCGAACTGCTCGACGCCCGACGTGTACGGTACCCGCGGATGCAACGCCAAGCAGGGGACCTACGGAGAGGAATGCCGCGCTTGCTTCAACGACGTCGACAAGGCCCGCAAGCAAGACACGCCTGAGAACCGCTCGATCATGTGAGACGCCACCTGCACATGTCGGAGTGAACGGTCGCAGTTGAGTCTGGTGACAGCAGTAGTAGAACGCCCAGCCGAGTTTTGTCTGCCATGTTTTTCCTCGGCCTTGGCGACAGGTTTGGCCAATGGCGCACCACCGGTTGTCGCGCCAATGAAGGGCTGTCGCGGGTGCTTGCAGGACGACGACGCCAGGCACAGTATTCTCCACCCTCCCTTACTCCTCCCTAACACGCCCTTCCCTTTCGCGTCCTCTCTCGCCCGATTGGTCCCGACAGTTGCTCCAACAAGAGGCCTGTAGAGGGCTACGGCCGTCGCCTGACTGCCGACGACGAGAGCGACCCTCTCCGCGTCGCGCATAGCCTCGAGACCTTGCAGGAGGACGCATCATCCCCGTCGGGAGAAGAGGAGCACCGCCAGCTTTCGGGGAGTACGCCGAAGTGGAAGTCACAGGAGAAGTGGAGGACCAGCAAGGACGACAGCATCCCCAAGTGCGTATTCCGAAGCGGTGGAAGTGTTGTTGTTTGCATAGTGGCACATGGCCACATAGGCACGGTCACCTTCGGCTCTAGGTTTGTGCAAGGATGCCGATCAGGGGAGCATCTCATTTCGGACAGGAGCTGATCAGGCCCACCATGCAGCAGAATTGTTCTCGTGGTACATGCGGTGAACCGTACATGTGGCAATCTAGGCTGAGTAGGTCTGCACCAATGCAGGAAAGTTGCTCGACTGACGTCCGCAGAGAACACACGTCGGACGAGATCGTTGGCGCAGTGTTGCTCCATGACTAGTCCTCATGTTGTCATGCGCTCACATCCGTCGTTCTCCATGTGCTTCAACGTGCTCTCGGATCGCGATAGGTGGAAACGCAACCAGAAGTGGCAGACGAGCAAGGACGACAAGGTCCCCAAGTGGAAGACCAACCAGAAGTGGAAGAACAAGTTGTCGGACGGAGCGTGAGTGGCGTTGGTGTCCCGCGCTACTTGTTGCCGAGATGAAATCATGTTTCGAAATGTTTGCGGGTGGCAACAGCGGCGGGTAAACCGTACCGGCTGTGAGACAGGACGAGACTCGTACGATCAGTTTTTTTACAATCGCATGCCAGATGTTTGCAATCATCGGAGGGGGCGTTCCCCAACGCTTGGGTGTTCCGGCGACAGGATCGACAATACTTTATTTGAGGCAAGCTACGAGGCAAAGCCGTAAAGAGTTCGTATTGGTTGGCTAAGCACCACAGTACTCAATTTTGTTCCGCCAAGCTCGCATTCCTGCTCACCCCCCCTCCCGCCGCTACCCCTTTGTCATCGTTTCCACAAACAGGTGCTCGTCCAGCTGCGAGTACACCAGCAGGGACGGGACCAGGGGACGCGTGTGCGACGCGAACTGCTCGACCCCCGACGTGTACGGTACCCGCGGATGTAACGCCAAGCAGGGGACTTACGGAGAGGAATGCCGCGCTTGCTTCAACGACGTCGACAAGGCCCGCAAGCAAGACACGCCGGAGAACCGCTCGATCATGTGAGACACCATGTGGCATAGCTGGGTGAACGGTCGCCGTTGAGTCTGGCGACAGCAGTAGTAGGACGCCCAGCTCCGTGTTGTCATGTTTTCTTTTTCCTCGGCCTTGGCGATAGGTTTGGCCAATGGCGCACGCCCAGCTGACGGCGGAAACAAACAGACTACTAGACCTCGGAGTGTAGCTCGTCGATCGGTATTCTCTATCCTCCCTTACTCCTCCCTAACACGCCCTTCCCTTTCGCGTCCTCTCTCGCCCGATTGGTCCCGACAGGTGCTCCAACAAGAGGCCTGTAGAGGGCTACGGCCGTCGCCTGACTGCCAACGACGAGAGCGACCCTCTCCGCGTCGCGCGTAGCCTCGAGACCTTGCAGGAGGACGCATCATCCCCGTTGGAAGAAGAGGAGCACCGCCAGCTTTCAGGTAGTACGCCGAAGTGGAAGTCACAGGAGAAGTGGAGGACCAGCAAGGACGACAGCATCCCCAAGTGAGTACCCCCTTCTCACCGCAGGCCTCCTTTGGAAGCCCGCTATGTACTCGTGGAGGTGTCGTTGTTTACGTAGTGGCACATGGCCACGTAGGCACGGTTCACTTCGGCTCTAGGTTTGTGCAAGGGGTGCGGGTCAGCGGAGTATCTCATTTCGGAAGGGAGGTGGTCAGGCCCACATACAAGAGAAGTCTCGTTGTACATGGTGCACGGAACCCTGTTTGTGGCCGGTGACGAATCAAGGTCGTCTAGGTCTGCGGCAGTGCATGGAACTCGCTCACCCGACATCCACAGACCGAGCACGTCGGACGGGGTCGTTGGGGCGGTGCTGCTCCATGACTGGTCCTCATGTCGTCCTGCGCTCACACCCGTCCTTCGTGTACTTTCATGTTTTCTGACGACATTACAGGTGGAAACGCAACCAGAAGTGGCAGACGAGCAAGGACGACAAGGTCCCCAAGTGGAAGACCAACCAGAAGTGGAAGAACAAATTCTCGGACGGAGCGTGAGTGGCGTTAAACGTCTCGCGCTTCTTGTTGTCGAGGATACTGAAGTCATGTTTCGGAACTTTTGGGGGTAGCAGCAGAGGCTGTTAACCCGTACCGCTTGTGAGACGGGGCGAGACTCGTATTAACAGTCCCATCACAGTTGCTGACGGTTGTGATAGGGTGCGGCATGACGACCACGTCAGCGCCGGTTGATATAGGTAGAACACGTCAAGGACCTTTCCACCCACAAGTTGCAGCAGAATCTGGTCAAGTCCAACGGATACGGAACATATTCTCTTTCACCCTTACTCCCCTTTGTCATCGTTTCCACAAACAGGTGCTCGTCCAGCTGCGAGTACACCAGCAGGGACGGGACCAGGGGACGCGTGTGCGACGCGAACTGCTCGACCCCCGACGTGTACGGTACCCGCGGATGTAACGCCAAGCAGGGGACCTACGGAGAGGAATGCCGCGCTTGCTTCAACGACGTCGACAAGGCCCGCAAGCAAGACACGCCTGAGAACCGCTCGATCATGTGAGACGCCACCTGCACATGTAGGAGCGAGCAGCCGCCGCTGAGTCGGGCGACAGCAGTAGTAGACGCCCAGCGCAGTCTTGGCGACAGGTTTGGCCATCTTCTCTCACTCCTCCCTCACACGCCCTTCTCCCTCACACGTCCTTCCCTTTCGCGTCCTTTCTCGCCCGATTGGTCCCGACAGGTGCTCGACCAAGAGGCCCGTAGAGGGCTACGGCCGTCGCTTGACTGCCGACGACGAGAGCGACCCTCTCCGCGTCGGGCGTAGCCTCGAGACCTTGCAGGAGGACGCATCATCACCGTCGGGAGAAGAGGAGCACCGCCAGCTTTCAGGTAGTACGCCGAAGTGGAAGTCACAGGAAAAGTGGAGGACCAGCAAGGACGACAGCATCCCCAAGTGCGTATTCCGAAGCGGTGGAAGGGTTGTTGTTGGTGTTGCTGATTACTACTGTAGTCGGCCACGTAGTAGTCACGATTCCCGTTAGTTGTGGCAGGGGGGCCAATCCGTGAACTCTCTCATTCCGGAGGGGAGGTGATCAGTCCCACCGTACAGTAGCGGTCTCGTGGTACATGGTGCACTGAACCAGAAATGTGGCCGATGACGAATGAGGTCGTCTACAGGTAGGTCTGTAGCATGCATGCCAGTTGCTCGCCCGACGTCCAGATAGCATACGTCGGGCGGGCTCGTTTTGCACGGTGTTCCTCCTTCTCCATGACTCGTCAGCAGGACGAGTCATGCGCTCACACCCGTCGTTCTTCGTGTACTTCAATGTGCTCTCGCATCGTGACAGGTGGAAACGCAACCAGAAGTGGCAGACGAGCAAGGACGACAAGGTCCCCAAGTGGAAGACCAACCAGAAGTGGAAGAACAAGTTGTCGGACGGAGCGTGAGTGGCCTTGACGTCTCGCTCTAGTTCTTTGTCGAGCATGATGAGATCGTGCTTCGGAACGCTTGGGGGTGGCAGCAGCGGCCGTTAAACCGTACCGGTCGTGAGACAGGACGAGACTTGCTTGAGCTTCTTTAACAGTCTCATGGCAGTGGTTGACGATCGTCGCGAGAGCTATTCCGTAACGCTTGGGTGTTCCGGCAGCAGTTTTGACAAAGTTTGATTTTGCAGACAACAGAGGTAAAGCCGTAGACATTTGTGAACCCTTGGCTACACACTGCACACCAGTAGCCGGCCATCTGCCACCAAGCTCGCCATGCGTCGTGCAGCAGAGTATCACTCTTCCAACTCCCTCCCGCCGATACCCCTTACTCGTCGCCACCACAAGCAGGTGCTCGTCCACCTGCGAGTACACCAGCAGGGACGGGACCAGGGGACGCGTGTGCGACGCGAACTGCTCGACCCCCGACGTGTACGGTACCCGCGGATGCAACGCCAAGCAGGGGACCTACGGAGAGGAATGCCGCGCTTGCTTCAACGACGTCGACAAGGCCCGCAAGCAAGACACGCCGGAGAACCGCTCGATCATGTGAGACACCACCTGAACGTAGAGGAGAAATTCCTTGCGTACAGGGTGCTGTGGACGGTTTCCCGCCAATCCCCCGCATGTCTTTTCGCTTATCGGTCCAAGATGGCTGCGACTAAATTTTAATAAATGACCTTAAGAACATATGAAATGCTTAAATGGGATAAGAATAATTAACTTTATTCGGCCTAAATTTGGTTCGCCAACGACGAATTGCGGTCGTGTCTGCATGACACATGAAAGCAGGGACTGTAAGTAGCCTTCTTAATCTCTCTATCTACGACACTTCGTGTGCGCCGGTCAACCTCTCTTTTCGCCCGATTGATCTCGACAGGTGCTCGACCGTGATGCCTGTAGACGTCTACGGCCGTCGCCTAACCCCCGACGACGGGAGCCGCCCTCTTCGCGTCGCGAAGATATTCAGCGTCGAGGATAGCGAGGAGGAAGCGGACGATGTCGAGGAAGAACTTGCAAACGTCGACGTCGACCGGGAGGACGTGATCTCTTTCTTCGAGGAGGCAGCCGAACGACCGTACTCCCAGGACCTGAAGCGCCGCAACCTGTGCGCCTTCGTCGGTGGTCGGGCGGGCGAGGAGGCCATGTGGGACGTGACGGTGAAGAGCATCCTGCAGTTTGTGCCGGGCATGAGGGTGGCCATCGCGGCTGAGGCGGAGGGACTTGACGCGTACGAGAGGTGGGCGTGTGGGTCAAAGAATTTGCAAAGCTGCACACGATGGCCGAATGTTCTCCTCTGGTGAAAAACAGGCCTCTTGACCTCCGTCTCTGTTGCCCCTTTCCTTCTCTTTCTCGACGCTGATGCAGGTCCATGGGCGGTCTCCCCGGCGTCACCGTTTCCGGCACCCAGAACCCCGCCACGGCGGCCCTGTTCGCAGACCAGTACTGCGGGCCTGGCACCGCTCTCATCTTGTACGTCGAGCCGGGGTCTGTTCTCTCCCGCCCCTTCACCTCCAAGGACACCCACTCCCCGCGGGGCGACCTCCTGGTCGTGCACACGGGCTCTCAGGGGAGCTACCACGACGCCCAGCTGAGGCGCCGCTCGGCGTCGGTGCTCGGGTTCGATGCGCCGTCCTTCACGCACGGCACCGACCTGATGCTGCCGGTCGGCGCAAACGAAGACCTCCGGGAGTCGCTCGGGCTAAGGCATGGTGCCAGCCTGCAGCACGACGGCGACTGGGCTTCAATGGTCGCGCTTCAGGAATTGGTCGAGTTCGACCAATTCTCCGCTGTCCCTCAGGTACATACGTCTTTTGGTGTGCTCGGGGAAGGATGTTTGGTGTTGACGTTGCAGGGTGCGGTGCTTTTGGTGTGAGAGCGTCACCGGGTGTTGTTGTGTTCGTCACAATGGAGAACTTTTCTGTTGTAGAAAGATTTACGCCATCAGCGGGATGCGATCTCTTTGAAGTCGCTGACCGTGCAGCCCTGTGTCATTTTCTGCCACTACCACGTTGCAGGTGCTGGCCGCGCTGGCCTACTCCCGCGACACGCCCGGAGTGTGGTTCCTCGACCCCCAGGCTTGGGTGGGCCAACACCTGTTTCAGGAGGCGTCCATCTGGAATATCCCTCTGGTCAAGCCCCGCTACACGTGCGCCATCGCTCCCGCCCAGCTGGAGCCTGGCAGCCCCAAAACTGCCGAGGTCTTGCAAAGTAACCTCGACTTCTTCTCTATGGGGGGCAAATGCGCCAACGGCCTGATCGACTTTGTTCTGCCGCTGGAGTAACTTCTCCTCCGTCGCCAGAAACTCAGCCTTGGCATTATCTGCTATTAATGCATTACGTGGCCTAGGTTTCGAAGATTCCGCCTTGCGAATAGATGATCTTTTTCGTGGGGATGATGTCTGTCAGCGTTCGTTCGCGTCGCGCACCTCGCGCACGCAAAAATTGTATCTGGGAGCAAATATGCCGCTTTTAGGCGCGCGCTCGACGCTACACTCCCCCGGGTCGCGTCTCATGCAGGCTTGCTTTAGTCCCACCGTATTCTTGTCGTAGTGTTTGGTTGTCGTCGCGGTAGGACCACGTAGTTAAAAGCACTGATGTACCCCCTTTCCTCTCTTGGCGGGCGGGCGCGCGTGTGGTGACGGTTCTGACCGCCCGTCCATCTCTGTTGCTTATTTTTGCCTACCGTTTTTTTGGTTTTGTTTATTAGTACCTACAGTAGAACGGAGGAGGGGGAGCTGCCAAGGATAGTTGGCCCCTCGATGCTTGCATGCGTTCGGCACTACACCACGCCTTGCGTGCTGTATGTCCCCGCGCCCCCGCCGACCAGGCGGGCTGAAAGCTATGACTCTGGGATAAGTAGGCGATCCATCGTAGGAGGTCGTAACCGGACTGTGCAATTTTTCTTATTATTATGGTATTACTGGCTGATATGGTAACGATTTGGCCGTTGTTTTTATTTTGACCACGATTTTTTTTAGGTGAACTTGAGTGCTCTTGGCGGCCACAGAGTACTTAGGACGACCTTGATGTTTAGCCCCTGAGCATCAATCATTAATATATTGCCTGTGTAATCGTGCAGGAGTGAGAGCATGCCGAGCGATAGCAGCAACCGATGCTAGCATACGCGCGGCACCGCGACGGTTGACACGTTTTCTGGTCGCATTGTGAGATGGATGGTCCTGAACGCTGCGTGCTATAGGAAGAGACTGGACCATGTACAATGAGCTGTAGATATTATTTGAAATGTTTTCGTCAGTTGCGTTTCAATTGTTTTTGTTCATTTTTCGTTTCAATTGTATTTGTTCATTTTATTTCGGTTGTTTTTGTTTATTTCATGGACCCATGAAGTAGCGGATCTGTTACTATCTGTACACAGACAGGCAGGTGCCCTTCACCCCCTTTTGATTTATTTTGGGAAAGTTCGATGTAGGGGAGGGGTCGAATCTTGTAGTTGTCATTACCTGGACAATTTGTATTCTGTTATTTTTTCCTTGGCCAGAGAACTCTTGTTGGAGCTCTCTATTTTGCGAGTACATTGTCAATAGTTGAACATACTACTGCTACGGCAAGGTATCCGTTAAAAAGGTTCAATCGCAGCGTTCGACGAGCTGCGGTGGTTTGAACCTGGCTGGCTTGTGGAGCACCCCTGTGTTTCCGAGCAGCGGTGTTTGCAGCAAATATGTCGACTCGTGCGGGATATACTTAACACTCTTGCCCGATCGGTTCTTAGGTAGGCCAGAAACCTTAGGACCTTTCCATAGATAGATGATGGTCACAGCTGGACACTGCCTGCGAGGGGGGGGCGACTTTCGGGTGGAAAGACTGTATGTCGATGGTATGAATAACGATTAGGCTTGGTCTCGATGTTGAAGTAAAGCAGATTGAGTTTTGTCTGGAACGTGCGGACAGCGGGATGACAAATGGAGAGGACGTACTGTAAGGGAGACGGCGCTGTACTATGCATACGTACGTACGGAACATTGCTGAAATGCAGAGGTGATCGAGGTGTAATCGAGGTGTAAATTAATGCGTGTATCTTCTTGTACATTACAACGGCGCGCATCCCGAGGTAGCTAGGGCAGTTACCTGTAGAGGGTAGCTGCGCCTCGGGAATGATCGAGCACAACCACTACTGTATTAAGCACCGCAACGATGATAGTAGTGGTCACATGGGCAAGACGTTGCAACGTCGATGCTTCGCGAGCAGATATTGTTTGTGCATGTAGGATGATGACAGTTTGGGGGGGGGCGTCCTAATAAATGGAGCCCATCTTTGTGTATCATACTCGATACGATACATAGAACGGCATCTTTCGGCGTCTCTTGTCTCATCGACACCAACCAAATACGCCCGTAACTGCAAATTTGGTTGAAGTAGGCTTGGAACGGACGCCATTCTTGCGATGGCAACTCGCAAACGCAAAAAGAAGCCAAAACCTCGAACAAGTTATTCCGACGCGATTGTTTTCGTTCTAGAAAAGGACTGCTATTATACTACCGTACATCAGTGACACGGGTGTTGCACCTTCATCGGAAAATAGGCATCCGTTCTGTTTTTCGACTCCAATTATCGCGACGTGCACGCAACTGATGAGCAAACGCGTCGGAAAATGCCGACCTGGCATTTCGTGTGGCGAACAGAGTACATGGACCATGCGACCATCACCCCCCTTGCACATTCATTGCACGGAAACACGTTGCACCACCGGACGGAACACAACTACTTTAGACAAGACTGGACTTCTGGACTTAGCTCAGCGTCGAGAGGCGTTGCTGCAACGCCGACGGTAGTAGAATATCGGCGGTATGACCTATAGCCCACGTAAAAGCAAGATCGTATGCTACCAGGCGCAAGATCGTACCAGGATTTCTACGAGTGGTTAGCATTGACAACAAGCTTGTGGACCTCTAGCGTTTCTTGGGTTCAGCCCCAACTCTACAACCACAGGAACAAAAACACAAAGGATGTCCACAGCAACCAGCAGTCGTGCACTTACCCGTGTAGAGTATGAGGGGCAGGCAAAACGAACGCCTGAAAGACGCACGGCTCCAGCCTCAACCAACAGGTCGATATGGGCAACAAACTAAAGTGGAGTTCTTCGACGCAAGAAACAACGGGTAAAAGTATATGCCGACGACCGACAGTAGCGGTGGTACAGCAACAGCAGCAGCGGAAGCAGCACGCCGCGAGCCATAAAGACACCCCAGATCAACAGCCAGCAAAAAGCAACCGTCTTCGCTATCCTCCCCCGCTCTCTCGCCTCGTCCCCTACCGCCGCTCCTTTCCATACCCTGCTTCAACAACGCTCGAGGAGAACCGCACCACCACCAACAAAAAACAAAAAAAATGAGACGACGACGACCTGCATACATAACAACATGCATCACTTGCCGCCCCCTCGGCCAATCATCCTCCCAAACCAGCCTCTACTCTCGGCTCCTTCTGCCGCCGCCGCCGCTGCGTCCCCCGCCCCCCGTGGCGCCGCCCCGCCCTCCAGGTAGCGGTCCCCCGTGTTCGACGCGAACGGGTCTTGCGTGGCCAGCGTGTCCTCGAACCTCGACCCGGTCTCGAAGCCCGACCCGGTGACCACGTCGTGGGATCTCGTCGCGGAGGAGTCCACCTCGCCTCCGTCCCCCATCGGTCGGTAACCCGCGGGCGCCCCGACCGGCGGCAGCGGCGGCGCCAGCCCGAGTGGTCGCGGCGCCTGCGGGGCACCCAGCCCCCCCCCAGCCCCCCCCGCGTCGCCCCCTGCCTCCATCGGCGGGGGCTCCACCTGCGCCATATACCTAGACAGGAGGATGCCCATGCCCTCAATGACGGCCAGCAACGCGCCGCCCACGACAGCGTTCTTAGCGGCGGTCCGGGGTCCCGCCCGGAGGGCGAGGATGCCGCCGGTGGCGGCGCCGGACAGGATGGGGTTCCAGGCGTCCTCCTTGTGGCGGACGGCGACCAGGGAGCAGTCGCACACCGAGAAGAGGGCGCCCCAGACGGCGAAGTTTCCCCCCAACACCGGCGCGCGGTACTGTAGTCGGAGGAGGAGGTAGATACCAAACGAGAGCGAAGGTGCGAGGCAGGGGGGCCAGAGGGGGGGAGGGTGTTGGCGACGTGCAGGCGGTAGGACCGAAGCGGGTAGGCGGAGAGTTGGAGGACCATGGAAGAGCGCGACACTCACTGCCATGCGGCGCGCCATCTTGGGGCGCCGCGCATGCGCACGCGTACACTCATCTGCCAGACACTCAACCGTCCTCACTCAAGGAGCAAACCAAGGCGTGGCCTAGAGTGCCGACAACACTAAATCTTGCCAAGACTCCTGCACAAAAAAACGTCAAGCATTGCCGGGCACAACAGCGCGTACAAAACCTCTACAAAACGCTGGAGTCTTTCGGGGGTTCCGCTGCAAGCGCAGACCGGGAAAAACACGTGCAGTGGAGAAACGCGACGAACCCCCGCGCCACGAACTCGAAAACCGGGTCATGTACGAGCAACCGCTGCCGCAAAGGCGTGCGCTATCTAGTGGTGGGTTCGCATGGCGTTTGCGTCCACTGGCGGAGGCTTGGTCTGCAGTATGCGTATGTCTTTTTGAACAGACTCACTCCGCCTCACGAATGCACTCGCCACAAAAAAAAAACGCGGTGTAAGGCCCGTCAAGACGGAAAGCATTCTGCTCCGTCGCTAATCGCAAGCGTTTCCCACACAGAGGCCCGCACGCGGTATGAAGAGGTACTACAGAATCACTTGCATGCGGGAGACACACACATACGAGGAGGTTGAGATCTACCAGCATCAGGATGAGGGTCGTAACCCTGGCTGCCCATGTGTGACTGTGAAACCCCAATCACCGGCTATCTGTTGGAGTGGTGGCGAAGCGCGTGAGAGCGTTTGAACGTCAACAACTGGCTACCGCTACAGCAGCGCTTCAAGATCGATGGCGGTGGCAGTGGTATCAGTCAGTAGCTGTGCAGGAATAAACGCTCCCCCCCTCTCCGACTATTGACAGTATATAAGATGTTGTTGCTGGCCTATGCGTCACGTCGTTCTAAAGTTGCCTACAGGATTACAACGCGGAATGTTGATATTGCCGACGAATTATTTGCACAAGGCTTTATTTATCCTTACGTCGAGTTCGATACTGAATAAGGGGGATCACGGCTCGAGAGACGCCTCGCGACTTCGTCGGACACGCGAGCTTATGCATATCAGCAGAGCGGAAGTAGCCAGCCGCGGGGAGTTTACTTCAGACCGACAGACCAGTTTTGTTTGGCCGCCTCCTCCGTGGGCAAGAACACTGCTGTAAATACGTATATACAGGAGTAGTAGAGAGTTTATTAGTGGGCGTTACTATGTACTAGCTTACATAAACTATGTTACGGAGTAATTCAAACTGCACGTGGGCGTGCAATGGGCGGCGTCACACTCTACAGCAACACACCGTGCATGCTTCCGCAAGGGCAATGACAGCAGTATGCGTTCATGGAAACACGAGGCACAGGGCGTGTTCACGACTTCTCGGGGACCTCACCACACGGCACCAAATTTCAAACACGCACAGCGTGCATAGTGGGCACAGGGCACAAAAACTCACGACTAAAATTCAGAGCAATGAAGACTTTGGGGTGTGTGTGTGCATATCACCATTTTTCTCGCCAGAGCTCTCTCTTGCTCACCATCACTGCCTTGAGAGCGCCCTGTGTCCCCTGGCCCTTGGGAGAGTTTCTGAAGCCCTTGACGCTGTGCCAGATCCCTCCACCCGCCAGACCGAAAGCAAAAGCACCCCCAACATCGCCCACGATGCGGTGGGGGCAGGGGTCCCTGTCTCCCATGGGGAGATGGCTTGCCCGGCTACGGCTGCAACGTGCTCCTTCCTCCCCCTACCGCCTGCCGTGGCAACTCGACGTTGTGTGTGGGGCTCTCGTCTGCGAGCCAAAGAAGCAAAGAAGCGGAGATCACACGCGACACGTTTTTTTTTTGTGCGGTGTTGGTGGTAACGAGGTCTGGAACCTTTGGAAGCGAAGCAGCTAGTGCCACGCAACTTGCCGGCACAGGGGACAAAGCTACCGAGCACTGCACTTCCCCGCGTGGCTCGTCTTGCGGAGACGGCGGTGCTTCGAATACACCTCTCCCGTACCTCGACCTTCCACGTACTGCGTCCACCAGGGGGAGCCGCAGACAGAATTTGAGCATAGGTGCATAATTAACGGCCATGTATAGAGCCTCTTCACCCCGCCGGCCACAGAGGGACAGGGACCATGGGCCATTGTTGTTGTTGTCTTCACATTAAAAACCGTTCCGATCTCTCTCTACCCAGTACCTTCGTATGTCCGTACTCATCCAACACTCGACGCGGTCGATTCCCGTGGTCACAGGCTAACTTACCCTAAAAAGGTACACTCAAATAAACTGGCCCCGAGGGGTCCGCAAGTCAATAGAAATCAACGACAGATATTCTGGAATCCTCCACTCCCTCTTCGCGCTATGCGAGGTATCAACTGAGACAAGCAGTCACTATCTATCATGGGCCGGAGAGAATGGGTAGCATTGGTAGGGAGGGCCATGGAGGTCGGATTACCAATCGTGCGAAAGGATCTTTAGGGGGTTCGGGGGTAGGGTTTCCGGAAGGTTCGGAAAGCATGCCGTGCTTTTTGGGCGCGCGCGCACGCGGTTCTTGACGGTTTGGAGGTGGTACTCGGCTAGCTCAGCTCTGCTAGCTTGCATACTGAAGCCCGAGCTGTGCAGGCTTGCAGAGCCCGCCTGCTCGTATGTTCTGTGGAGTATGTTCCTGCGCGCACAGGGGACTCATGGTGTGTAGGGGAGGAGAAGAATGCTGCTAGAAAAACATGTCAGGACCGCCGAAAGCACAATCAATTAGTCTACAATGTAGACTGTTGTCGGGGGCACCGATTTGTATGTGCGCGCTACCGGGCTGCCGGCCGTTCGGTAGGGCATGTACTGCTGCTGTACGAAGAGCGAGTGGAATATCTAGCTGAGTCTAGGTGCTGTAGGTCTAGGCCTACTTTGCACAGCTTCGAGATGACCGGAACCGCTTTCTGTGCTGGTACACGAAAAGAAACAACCGATTGCCCCGCAACGCTA